GAATATTTTCAAGGCAGGCTTTTTACCAGCTTGCTGCTTGGATTGGGAACTTAGCATCATTCCCAGCTCCTTCCCAGGATCATCTATATTGAAACAATTCCTCTTCTCAGCTGTGAAGCCAGCGGCATCTTGGAAATAAAGCTCTCAAAAGCTGAAAACCTGCAAGATGGCTGGTCACTCCCAAAACAAATGAGGTCACCAATGGAACTTTGTTAGGAAAAATAAAGAAACTTATTATGGGTCTGCCCTTCCCCAAACAGAGAAACTATGAAAAAATTTATCAGGTTTCCTCATTTCTGATCAATGATCTGAAGCATTTTTCTTATAATTCCATCTGCTAGATTCCATGAAATGTTTATGGAGTCACAGAGAACCAGTGAGGAAGTTTCTAAACCCACACTTGCAAATGAAAAAACCCAAAACCAAAAAAAAAACCCAGGTGATCTCAATAACATTCAGTGGGCAGGTGTGTAAGTGCATGGCCTGGTTATAGAAGGACAGAAAAGTGAGAAAATACAGGACCAGGAGGGGACAATCATGCCACCCATATTCAATTTCCAGTTTTATTTTCTTAAAATGACAAGATGAAAAAACTTCTAATAAGCACCATTGAACAACATTGCCCGGCCAACATGAGCACGAGCTTAAATATTATTTAAATAAATTCCATTTCTTAAAAAATACAGGACCTCTTAGAAACTTTTGACTCCAGGAAGAAATTTCCTGCATCATACCCAAAATGCTTCCCACTATGACAAATGGAATTTCTGATGGCCTTTGGAGAAAAAAAAAATGCTATGGATAATGGCTAGATAGCACCAAGAGATTGTGCAGGGTCTACAAAATGAACACTCTGAATTTCAGGGGAGCTGGGTCAGTTTCAGCTCTTTCTTGTACCTCTGCATTGTTTCCATCGCCAATCTGACTGTACAGAACGATCCTATTTGACCAGCTGTGTATAAAATAACCTAATCTACAATGGAAAAGCCAGTAGCAGCAAGTCTATCGATGAAACCAGTGGAGCAGACTTATCAAGTGAGTAAAATGCAAAAACCAGTACATAATGCACCAAGTAAATTATGTGTGGAAAGTATCAATGCTGAACTGTGAAATACTAAGACAAACACCAAACCTAACTCTGTAGGATGTTCTTACTGCCCTCAGGTCCAGTTTCCTGTCATTTCCCCCAATGGTGGGCTCAAGTATGCAAAATGACGGATGCGAGAGCTTTCTTTTTCCTTTTGATCTACATACGCTCTTGTGATATTTTGGAAAAATATTTTTAAGCATCTCAAAGGGGAAACAAGCAACTAAAGGCAAAAGGAAAAAAAAAATGGACCTTCAAACCCAGGGCAGGAAATCAAATCATTACTTTAACGTCAAATTTTGGCATCAAATACTTTGGTCATACAATACTGTCTCTGTGGTTCTGGCTGTTTAGTACTAAACACTAAACACCCAGTTATAAAAGGTAGGCTTGTTGTTGGTTTATTTTTTTTTCCATTTAAGTTCTGACAAAACAGTTCACCATCTCCCTGCACAAACTTGAGAGAGAGAGAGTGAGAGAGAGAGAGAGAGAGAGAGAGAGAGAGAGAGAGAGAAAGAAAAAAAAAAGAGCAAGAAAGAGAGAGGTGGCTTGCTTTTTTTTTTTGTTTTTGGCTTTTTTTTTCTTTTTAATAATATGGAATAATCTATAAGTCTACAGGAACAAAGACATCTAAGATGGCTGCTCAGCCTTGGAATGTACATGTTTTGCAGCAAAGTTGTTGAAGAACCTTCCGTTGGCACAGATTGTTCTTTTTCACAAGCATACAGAAGCCTCCTTCGGCCCAGGACTCTTCCGTTGCTTTTCCGGAAGTCAGCGAAAGAGAGGGGGAGTGGAGGTCGAGAGCAGCATGATGCACACACACGGAAGGAGGTTTTGATTGGCCAGAGAGGCAGATTGGGAGGTTGGAAGAGATCATTCAGGAGCAGTCAACAAGGAGAAAATTTGGTCCACCCAAAGTGATTTCAGTCAACAGCATTGGTTTTCAAGGAGAGATATTGCAGTCCAACGGTAAATGTGATTGGTATCCATTTGTGAAAGGGAAAAAAAGATTGAAAAGAGAATAAGTTAGAAATCAATAATAACACAAGCAAGGAATTTTTCTTTTCAGAATTACCTAGAGCAGAGAATATACAGTCATTTATTCCATATTTCATTGAAGCTAAGACACAGGATTTACCATGCAGCATTACCTTAAGAATCACAAGGGAAATAATGCTTCTTATTAAACTGTGACACAATGCTCTCATCAATTAGAATTTTAATTTTATTATTATTTTTAATATTAAAAATTATGATTTTATTATTTATTAGTTATTTTTATTATTCATTATTTTTATTTTATTAATTTTATTTTACATATTAGAAGTAATTGTTATATGATGTCCTTTTTGGTTTCTGTGATTATACAATAACCCTTCCTTTGAACATCGAACAACAAACAATTCATTATTTGGAAGCTCTTTTGAGATGTTATTCAAAGTCATACAAGAAGTAGTAGCTATGAGCTTAATCCAGTTAACAGACACCTCTGTACCTAAGTCTCAGGCAACACCATTTAAATCCTATGAACCCACTGGTCAAAAGAGTTGTAAGCTGTCATGAACTATCAGGTGCATCTGATTTCAGAGAAGTTAAAATACAAAACAAAACAAAAAAAATCTTATCTTAGAATCATGGAAATATGAAAGTTGAAAGGGAACAAACAGCACAAATATGTAGTTGCCATATTATTTGATGCCACCAATGGTGTCATTCTTTTACTAGTTTTTCATTTTCCACTTCTGCTCACAATCCCGACACCCCTCTTTTACCAAAATGCCATTTGCACAACTTAGTACACGCTCACCAGGGTTCAGTGGAAGTAGCTAAAACATCACAAACCTTCAAATGCCTGGTATAAGAGCTGGAGGCAAAAATGTCAAGTTACAGTGGGTGTCCCATGTTAACCACCTAAAAGCCTTTCTCAGTTTTTTGGTTAACCCAGAGTGGTGTAGTTGGAATTAGCCCTGGTTAAGAAACTCTGAGAACGAAGCACCTGAGTGGGTCCTGACCCTCCCTGTCAGACCAATCACACATCAGAAAAGCTATGAAGATGCAGTCACCTTTGATGGCTCATGCAATAAGCCATATGTGCTGTCATAACAGTGCCATCATGGCCCATTCCTTCTGATGCCTTCTTGAAATTCCTAAGATGGGGTTGTGGAATAACCTCACAAGGTCACAGGTATTATCTTGTTCATTTTGTGCAGGTGAGGGGAAAGCAGCCTAGAGAATTTCATAACCTGCCCCAGGTCTAGAGCCCAGGTATGAGCTATGGTGTTTTGACTCCCAAGTCCATATTTTGCCAATTACAGAACTGTTCTGCCTCCCCTAACATTTCCAGAAGAGGGAACATTCCAAAGAAGGCAAAGAATGGACCTAGGCAATGATCTTATCATTGAGACTGTTCCACATGCATGCCTTCTATTTTTATAATGAATTTTTATGAAGATGTTTAAAACATCTTTGGTTCCAAACAATTTCTTTCTATATCACTGAGATGTATTTTCTGCATGAGGCTTAGGCAGATTTTACGGTCCCTTCAGCATGAACTACATGAGGGTCAAAGATCACATACATGTTGGAGTTGGAATAACTTAAACTCATTCTTTTTACAGATGAGAAAACTGAGTCTAAGGAAGTGAAAGAACTTGGCATTTCCCTATCAGAGGGATCAGGGCAGAGCAATAGTCTTTAAACTGCCAGCATCAGACACAGGAGAGGCTTCTAAAAATATCTATCCTCAGGCTAATCCCAAACCAATTCAATCAAATCTGTGGGGAAGCTGCAGGATCTTGGCATTCTACTTGGGACTCATCAGTACCAAGAAAGTAAAAATGGACTAATATTTAAAAATCTTAACTTTGATACTTTGTTTCGGCACTTTCTACCATCACATCTCGGGTTTTCCCTTCTATATAAGTCTGGAATGTTAATTCCTAGCCTTGTAAACTTCATGAAAGATTCAGAAACCATTTGATTATCATTTACATATCAAAATTGTAAGCAATACAAATAATAGGAGTGATAGAAAAACTAAAGTCTTTGCATGATTGAATTTTATGCTATTATTAAAAAAAAGTTTCCAAAGACTTTGTAAAAACATAGGACAAAGGAAAATGCCTATGTATAATGCTTAGTGCAAAAAGCAGGATACAGAACTCTGTATGTGGCATTTATAAAACTGGATAAGAAGTACATATGGAAAAGAAATACATCAAAAATTAACTGGAAAAGGCTGCATACTGTGTGATTTTAACACGTTAAGAGGAAACACTGTAACACTTTAAGGGGAAAATGTATGGAGATAGTAAAAAAAAAAAGAGTGATTTCTATGGGGATGGAGGAAAGGAAGTATGAAAAGGTAGAAAACAGAAGATTTTTAGGGTAGTGAAGCTGCTCTGTATACTGCAATGGAAGATACATGTAATTATACATTTGTCTAATTCCGTGGAATATACAACATCAAGAGCAATCCTAATGGAAACTATGAGCTTTGGATGATAATGAGGTATCCTTGTATGTCTATGCACTATAAGAAATGTGCCTCTCGTGCTGGATGGTAATATTGGGGGAAGCAATACATGTAGGTAGGAGGGGGATATAAGAGAAATCTCTGTGCTTCCTGCTCAGTATTTCTGTGAATCTAAAATGGCTCTAAAGAATAAAGTTTATTAATTAAAAAACAACAGTTGTCATCTTGGCCAGTGGATCTATAGGTGATGGATTTCTTCTTGCAATTAAACAACAAAGCCCCACACTCATTAAGAGTTAAGTTCAAGAGGAAAGAATGCCAACAAGATATTGGGCATGTCCTATCTGATGCATGCTTGTTAATAATGGAAATAGGTTACACCTTAAAGTAGAAGGCTCATATTTAGCTCAAAAGATCAAAAAGAGAAGTTGTACTCACCATCCTTGCAGATAGCTCCCATTTGACACATTCCTAAGTCTAAGAGATACCCACTGGGGCAGCTGGTACAGTTCTTGAACCCTGGGCCATTACATGTCAAACAACTGGTATCACATCTAGGGGAAAAATGTTCAATTTTTAAAATCCTTTCAGATATCATCAACATAGATAAGTTGTGTTTACTATCAACATTATAATGTCTTAAATTTAATTTTCCCTTTGAAGATAACACAAAAATCTTTCTTACAATAATTTCTAGGTTTGATGACATTAAACCTAGCGGGGAGACACTGATTTTAAAGGGAATATTATGTGTACTTGAAACATATTTTTTACTTTGAAAGTTTTAAGGTGGGCCTGAGGCCAAAAAAAAAAAAATCTGATAACTTGGGTTAGAGCTGTAGGGCAGTGTCCAAATGTAAAAGATTGAACTTTATTTTGTCATTAAAAACTCTTAAGTTTTCCCATTATTTTTGAAGGTAGTCCTATGAGGAACTAAGGTACTAAATGCTACAGCTGGGGACAAATCCACTTACTTTTTGCAGGATTTGTATCCATTCTCTGAAGAGTGCTCTAAGTAGTAGCTGATACTACAGCTCTGCACGCATCTACCGTCTTCCATGTAGTAGCCCTCTGTGCAATTAATGCAGCCATCAGCTCCTGCCCCTTTAAGCACAAGACAAAAATGCAAGACGCAGAAAAAAGCCTGAGTAAAGGTTGCATAATGGGCTCCTTCTTTAAGAGTCTGAAAATGGCATTCATCTATTATAATTTTAAGTGTCTTAATTTAATATTTGTGGTTTTCCTGACTTTCCTTTGTGGGGAGAACTCCTCCTATTTTAAATCAGATTTTCTTGCTAAAAAAATATCTGCTCTCACTGGAAAGAGATGTCACTGGGATATTTAAGTTTCTCAGCGAGGACAGGGTGCTGATGATTTGACTTACCACGAGAATACATGCATGATTATCAAAAGAGAAATGCACTCCTCCACATCTACTTTAAACATAGGGGGCGGGGTGTGTGAGTGATGGCTACAACCAGACAAACGAAAGGAAAATGAGAAACACGAGAACAAATGGAAGAGCAGGGAGAAGGTACCAGCACAGGTGGCACAGAAGCGGTGGCAGGGCTGGCAGTCCTGGCCGTTGAAGTACTGTCCATCCTCGCAGGTGACAGAACACCGGGATCCCTGCAGGCTGGAAGAAATGTAAATCAGAGTTCTAAGCAGATTGTTGTGATCAAGGCAAAGCAGTAACGACTTCCCAGATTCCCTATGTAGCAAATAGAGCCCACCAGAGACCAGTAGATTGTGGGGAAGCTTCAACACAGGGGAAATAACCCTATGTCCTCTTTTTCCCATCTTGGTACCTAGACTGATGTCTGTAGCATATATACATGCTGCTAGGCTTTGGGTACATTCTCCTGAATTGGTTAGGCTGGCAGACACCCTCCTACTTTGCTCAACATCTGAAGGTCCAGAGGTCTCAGAAGGTCCCCAACTGATGGAACAATCACATTACCTAACAATATGCCCAGCAGTTCCCTAATATCCAGACTCACACCACAGTAAATTTAAAAATTGTTCCATAATTCAAAATGCAGTAGGATCACATGGTAAAATGAAATACAACTGAATAAAAGTGTAATAAGGATCCCTGGGTAGACTCCCTGGAGTATCCTTTTATGTTTTTAAGTGTTTCTCATTTTAACCTCCTATTGGTTCCATCAAAGAACAAAATTGTTGAGCTAGGAGTGTAGCTCAGAGGCAGAACATGTGCTCAGCATGCTTGAGGCCCTGCGTTCCATCCCCAGCACTACACGCACACATGCAAATAAATTCTCAAACACTTTTGCCTCTATTTCTTGATTTTTTCATTTAAAACAATAATGAGGAATTTAGCAAAATTAGCTACCTACAATGCTGCTTTCTCAAGTATTTTATTTTAGTTATATTACTATTTACATGCACACTATGTTAAATAATTTTTAAATTTTCTGTTTCTCTATCTAGTTATCTAATGAATTGCCAGGATGCAAAGGAGGAATGCATATCTTTTCCTCCCTCCTAATTTCCATCAGTTATGATATTTCTCAATCTATACTTTGATTTTTAAAATTAAAAACAAATATATAGAATTTGACATATTTAATATAAAAATATCACTCACTGAATTAATTGGAAACAGAAAATCAATGATCCTAGACGTACATTTAATAAATATGATCAAATGGTTTCTATATTCTTAGACTTTTTATATTGCTCCAATTGAGATCTTATGTGTCTGCTTTGTATATGGCTCTTACTAATTTTAAAAATTAGAATTTAGTTTTCCTTATGCTCATTAAAGAAATTGGGAAAGCACACAAATAAAAAAATAAAACAAAGAGTTCCAAACAGACCCTGTTACCATTTCAATACATTTTCTTCCTGCATTTTATGCATCGACATGTTCCCCTGTTTGTTCTTAGCCACTATTTAAAAATTTACAAGTCCCTGGAGGCCAAATGGTCAACCCCAGAAGTCTCTGGGAACACACAAGGAGCCTCAACTAGATGAAGGGCAGCTCACCAAAAGCGCACTTCATTCAGACGGTCTCACTGACCAGAGAGCTGTTATTTACGAAACCATTAACAGGAAATCCCTTTACTTCTCCCTCTCTATAGTGTTATTAAAAGACACTGCATCAAATGGATCCTTTACTGGGATGAAATAGGGACCACCAAAAATACTATCAAAATTTTAAAAGAGCTGCCTGAGAAAGGGCCATGCTTCGGAGGTTGGCATCTATTCAGCTGGAGACAGAGTTGCACTGTGTGTGAAGGAATGAATGAAAGGGGTCATGCAATGGAGAACAGCCACAGAACTCTGAAGCCACCACACACTCCTGAGCCCAGTACTGTGGATGTCTCTCTTCCGTTTTTGATAAACTGGCTGGTTCAGATCTGCACTGTCCACGGGGCAACTGCTGAAATGTGGCTGAACTCCTGAACTGAGTTTTACATTTTAATTACTTAAATCCAAATTTGAAAAACTTGTACTTGATTTAGTTATTGGCAAACTTTTGAGTAAATCTGGAATATCTTGGCTTTGTAAAATCTACTTCTTCAGCTAGATTTTAAAATATCTGCATACAGATATTTCTCATCAAAAATTGTCAGAATCAAGATGGACTTTAAGAGCATACACACCAAGTTTCAATGACTAAATTCAACAACAAAAAAGAATGTAAAACATCTCATTAATAGTTTTTTTATGTTGGCTCCATGTTGAAATGATAATATTTTGGATATATTATGTTAAATAAAAGGTTTTATTGAGAACAATTTTCCCAGTAACTTTTTACTTCTTTTAATATGGCTACTGGCATATTTAAAATTACATATACGGCTCTCATATTTCTATTGATATGCACTGATTTAACTTTCTCTATAAAATTTTCCTAAGAGAATTTCTCTAAGAAAAAAAATGTAAGTAACCTTTTTTTAAAAAAAATTTATCATGGACCAATTATGTAACATATGCAGAAATAGGTACTTCATAAATGTTACCACAATTTATTTTTTATTATCATAGTCCAATAAAATAAGGGTTATTTGCACCATTTTATACATGAGAACATGGAAGCTCTGAGTGGTTAGGTGACTTGCCCAAGGTCACCTTAACAGTAAAGGAGGATTTAAACTCACATCTTCCTTATTCCTTCCTATTATGCCACCATGTTGCTTTTCCAAGAAGAATTACTAGGCTGAAGGGTCTGACATTTATCAAAATTGAAGTGTCAAGATGCAAGGCGCTAAGCAAACTAATAATGCATATGGTTATGGAGGAAAAAGTGATAAAGCCACAAATAATGGATGGATTTAAATGAAAACAATGTTCTAATACTGATTAATGTGAAGAATTGTCTGACTGCAAATTGCATGGACCCTGTCCATTTGACCTCTGATCAAAGGTAGAAACAAAGACACTCTCAATACTGAAAAAGAATCCAGTGCAGGAGAATTCTAACTCTAAGTTAAGTCAGAGTCCAACTCCTCACTCAATGTGGCATAGTCCAACCTTCTTCTGAGGTCAGGTGGCTGAGTTTGTTAGAGCTGCAAAATGTTTACATACAGAGTCTAACAACTACCTGGCTTCAGCAATGAGCAAGCCATCCATTCAAGGAAAACATCTCCTGTGTTAAATCGATGTGGATAACGTCACATAATGGAGCCAAGCCTGAGGTACCAAGATAAGAGAATGACTGGGTATGTGCAGAGAAATAATAAAGATAAGGGAATAACTTTCCACCATCCAAGGAATTAATCAGGGGGATTAAATATAATTCATTGGCATTACCTGCACAGTAATCCTTGACTGGCACAATGCAGGTCAAAAAGTACGAAGAATGCCTCTCAAATGGTCATTTTTATTGACTTGTATCTGAGTCATGTTTTTTACAGAGAATTTATTTAGTTTATAACCCTCCCTTAGTCAAGATGGCACCCAATTTTTCAGATATAAGGTTAGAGGTAATGCAAATAGGAATCAAATGCTTCTGTGGAAGTCAAACCAAGGGTAGGTGATAAAAGGGCTATGTATATACTTATTTATTATTAAAAAAATTTTATAGTTGTAGATGGACAGGATACCTTTATTTTATTTGTTTATTTTTATGTTGTGCTGAGGGTTGAACTCAGTGCTTCACACATGCTAGACAGGTGCTCTCCCACTGAGCTCCAGCTCTGGCCCTACTTATTCATTCTAATTTTTTAAAATTTTGTTTACATTGAGAAACTCCAGGGGCTGTGTTATTGATGAAGTCCTCCACTCTCTTACCTTAACCCATCCCTGCATTCCGTACAATTATGGGATTCAGTACATGTCTTGCAGTTTTCACTGCATTTCCGGCAAAGATTTTTCTCTATTAAAAAATAAAAAAGAAACAAAGTTATGAACTTGTTGTTCAATTAGAGTGCATAAAAGCATGTGGAGATGGTCTAATGATTGCAATATATACTACAGTGCCCATGCCTTGAGAAGAAAACTGTAGGAAAGCCAGAATTACCATTTGTTACCACTTCTCTGCAAACTGAATACAGTCATGAACTGTTACGCTGGGAAATACCTCACACTCATCTGCTACCCTGTAGACAAGAGAACTGAAGCCCCACTTAGTTCTTAGTTGAGTAGTTTTATTTTTCTTCTTTCCATTCTCCTTCTCAAACAGGGTTTCCTAACTTCCAGCATTGAAAATCCCACTCATTAGGCTGGTATACCACCAGTAGGCAAGGATTGGAAAGCAATGTGGTGAAATGGGACTGTTGCCCTCCAGGCCCACAGCTCTCAGGACTATTCTTTTGAACTAACTAGCAAAAGGAACCTGTACTTAATATTGTGAGATAAGGGTTGCTTATTTCTTGCATTGTCTAAAATAGTGGCTTGCACTCTATTGCTGCTGTGGAATTGACATGAATATTATTATATTTCAGATAATATCTATATTCTGTAGAATAAAAATATATTTGATTTGAAAACGTACACTGTGAATAATGGCTTTCCTGTTCACTTCCAAACCCTGGTCCACAGGAAAAAAAAAGGGCAAACGTGCAATTGTTCTACTGTGAAAAACAGTGATTTGGTGTGTTAAGGAAGTCCTTTAACTTTGAATAAAATTTTGCTGGTAACTTGGTATCTTCTTTGAAATGCAAGTGGGTTATAGTCACACCTGTGTGTAGAACTGAGTGAAGCTTTGTTCACAGGTTCTCTTACCTGCTCTTTAAATGCTGATGTTCTACAGAGTTCCATAGAGAAACACTGCTTTACAGATCCCTACAAGGTCCTACTGGATCAAGGTTTAGCCTCTCAGCATGAAACCCAAAGCCCTTGGCACGGTTATGGTAGTTGTCACATGATCTCCTTCACTATGCTATTGAGAATACTGGATATGGCATAGGATCTGAAGGCAGAGATTCTAGATTTGCATTCTGCTTTTAGCACTTCAATGGGCAAGTTCTCTAGGTAAATGGAGATTACAATGATACCTACCTACCAGCTGTCCTCAGAAGTACATGTAGTTTTTCAAAAGGGTGATATAAACTATAAAGCACTGTAAATGTGTTGGCAGTAACTATAAGTCATGTCCATACATGACTAATATTGTATGTAAATAGGCTCATTAAAGGATGAAACTATAACAAAAGACAGTTACGTAGGAAAGAGATACATAGACCACTGGAATCAATACAATGTGGTAGCAGAAGTAATTATTTGAACATCTTTTCTTACATATCCATCTCCCAAGCTCTCTGGAAAAAAAACAAAAACAAAACTATAGGGGGACTGGGGATGTAGCTCAGTGATAGACTACATGCCCCAGGTTCTATTCCCAGCAATCCCTGCCCCCAATCTCAGTTATCTTGTGTGTGGATTGTTGTTGTTGTTGTTGTTATATAACATTCTAGAACCAACTTTATTTTCCAAGGCTCATGCTTCTTAATAGAATTTTGACTTTATTTTCCCTAACAAATACTGAATATTTCTGTGGATCCTTTATGCCCCTTCCTCTCTCCCAATTTTTCTTTTCCCTGTCATGTTCCAAATTTGGAGGCAAAAAGGAACTACAAGAGAATCCCTACCCATTGCACTGAAGGGTAAGATACAGAACCCACATGTTACGCATGGAAGTATGTAGTACCTTTGAATCAAGAGAATTTCACTTCTTAAGAAGCAAGGGCAACTCCTTCAGACTTCTTGTCTGATCTTTTTTTTTTTTTTTTAAAACAACTCTTGCTTCTTTGATTTTTTTTAATATATTTTTTAAGTTGTGCAGAAACATGATGGATTGCTGTCATTAAATATGGTGGCATCATATCCTTATTAAGACAAATTATCCAGAACTCAGAAACAAACAAAAGATACCTATAGCCTTTTTTGAAGGGACATACTTGAACATTATCTAATAGGTCTGCCCAAAGACTAATTCTCTAAGGCAATATGGCTTTGCTTGTTTGCTAATTACAGCTGAAGAGTGCCCAAACTCTAACGTCACATGTTCATGCACGAATTTCTGTCTGGCAAAGTTGTAAATATTCTTTGTCCACTAGAAAAAGACTCCCCCTAATTTGAGTTGTCTTGCCATGTAGGAAATTATTCAATTTTTTTTTTCTGTAAACAAAATTGAACAACAGAAGGATTTCATTTTGCCTTTCCTGGCGGACTAGCAATCTGATCATCTTTGAATCCACTTGTCCTTATGCACGTTCCCTTATTAATGAAGTAAGTGTCTTTGACATATGTTCATTCTATATTTATAAGAAAGTCACTTTTTAAACTTTTAAAAAAGTATACTTTGATAGCATACAGGAGATGCCTTAACAGTGAGTGTGCAGAAAAGATTGATCTAGCCACTATTCTTTCAAGACTGCTTATCCAAGTGGCCCATGGCTGGTACCTTCAAATTAGAATTTGTGGAGGGCTACCATCATTCCAGTGAGAGTACCTTGCATTGTCCAAACCTTGTATTAATAAATGGTTTATAGTAAACACCAATTTTCCTTCTAGGAGTCTAGAATTTTGGTGCATACTAGGCACTAGCTACTAGTAACAACCTTGGGTGCCAAGTCTCTACTGAGGTTCCCTGGTGGACAACTTCAAACATGTTGCCACAGATTGAACATGTCCTGTGTGGCTCCACTGGAAGGTGCTCTTGGAAGCTTGCATCTGCTTTCCTCTGGGCTTCATCATTTCCTGCTGCTGATTTTACTTTGTATCCCTTTGTTCCAGGACTCATAACTGTGAGTATAAGAGTTCAGTCTTATGAGTATTCCTAGCAAATTGCTGAATGTAAGAGTGGTCTTGAGGATCCTCTGACAACAGTTAGTTACAGGCATTTTCACACAAAGCTTCTAAACAATCTCGTAAAATAAATTGGTTAAATTCTGTTTGACATTTAGCAAACCAGATTTCATAAAGGAGGAACATCCCTCCCAAAGTCGCTCAAGTGAAAAACCCACATCTTCTCTAAAACCCAAATATTTGAAATCAACTCACTGGTGTCCTGATATGACCCATCAGGGCAGTGAATAACACAGCTGTTGGTTTCTTCATTCAGGAAGTACCCATATTTACAGGAGAGGCACTGATCACCATGGCTCCCGAAACAAGACTCACAGTTGGGCGCACATTTTCGGCATCGCTTCTTGTCTGCGTAGTAGTGGCCAGGGGGACAGCTGGAGACACAGATCCTGCATTGGAGAACAAGAAGAGAGATAGTACATCACCAGCCACTTGCCCTCAGCATTCTCCTGGAGTGGCTAAGCAAACAGTGGCCCTCAGCCTCAAAGTCAGAACACCAACACCAAATCCCTAGGGTTCAATGCTGTTTGCTAAAGCTTCTTCCTGTACAGGGCTGAGGAGCAATGCAGTCACCCAGCACCAAGTCACCCAGCAAGAGGGCTCTTGGCCCCAACCATCTCCTAGTGAAGGTCTGGCTCCTCACAAGGAATAATGGGTACATACTGGGTGTCAAGAGCAAACTTGTACTGGTGGGTTGGAGAGAAGATATGTGGGAACCATGATTTTATGCTCAAAGGTCTAACAAGGGTTTCTTCTACTTGTGTTGTTGCTCATGTGATCTGTACATGTGGGCAGTGGTTGCAGTCATATGCTATTATCTAAGTAAACATAAACATATTTAAATTTATGTTGCTTAAGAGAATTTGTTTTTTAAAAATAACTCCCTTGTTTGTCCATAACTGAAAGACGGTGCTTGATTTATTTATCCATTCAACACATATTTACTGAGCACCAATTAAATATCAGGCATTTTGCTAAGTTTGAGAGATAACAGAAACAGCCAAGGGCCTTTTCCTTGAAGAATTTAAATTCCAACATGGACTTAAAAGGAGGAATTTGACCATGCTTGAGTCTGTCTGGGTGTATTGGGTATGGAGTTATCAAAATCAGATCCCCACAGGGAACTTTTGCTTGAAGGAGTAGGGAGAAGGTATGGAGGGCTGTGAGAGGTGGGGTGGGGAGGATGGGCTCCCACTGGGGTAGTCACTGTCCTCTCCTCTGCCCCATATTTGTATAGCTCTGGTCAGAAGCCAGGGATCAGAGACACAGGTCCACCTCAGTGCTCAGAGTGGAAGAGTGAGAACAACCAGGGACCAGCCCCTTTGCCATGTGATTTTCTTGCATGTTGGGAAATGTGGGAAATATCAAGTTGGTCAATGCACTGACATGTTCATGAAGGGCAAATACAGCCAGAGCTTCATCCATCAGTGGGATGGAAATGACATGAACTTTAGTTAGACAGAAAAATTAAGTTTAAGATCTACTGTACATGATGGTATTAATAACAACAAACTTGCAAATAGCTAAGAGTAGATCTTAAGGGTTTTCACCACAAAAAAATAATAAGAATGTGAGAGACTACACATATTCAATCATTTGATTTAGTTATTCCACGATGCATGCATATTTCAAAACATCATGTATGCATATATAATTTTTTCTTGTTCATTAGCACATTTGGGGTGTTCCTTGGGGATCTGACATGGCCTCTCTGTTACCTGGTATTATTTTTCAGCTTGTAGTAGTAGTGCAAACAGTCATTGCAGTGGTCTGGTCCTGGCCCATCACAGCCAACCTCACTGCACTCAGGATCACAGGGACCTTTCCAAAAGAGATTAGAACAAAACTTAGAATAAATAATGATTTTAGAAGGTCACCTTTCCCCAGACTTTGATATAGACTAGGACCTTTCTTTTTTCTTATGCAGTGATACTTTCTTAGAGATGGAAGAGTAATGGTCAATGTGGTTGTAAGCCAGGAGATGAGCCTGACTTTTACTGGAAAAATTTCAAATGCCTAAGTATCAAGAAATTCAGTGTTGGCCTGGTCTTGAGGAGGTGACAAATATTCCAGAATCTGAATGAACAAGGCCACTGTAGCAAGAGGAAAAAAATCAATATGCAATTAAATATGCATAATAATAAAATATAGGATTTGTAGAAAAATGAGCAGTTGTTGACAAAAAGAAAAAAAGGTTATTTTTCAATGCCTAGAACAGATTGCCTATCTCATCCAAGGTCACCAAAGGCACTGAACACATCTAAATAGTGTGGCCAGAAAGAAACATCATTATGGCATGTGGCACAAGCTTATCAGCATCTAGTCCTGGATCACAAAGCAGATACTTCAGGCACAGATAATAGATTTAACATTGTGTCCGATCCAAAGGCCAGTAGTCAGATCCACACAAGAAAATGACATACAAATTAAAAAATGTGAGCTAGCTTAAAGAATTCCAGGGGATGAAGGTTCTTAATTTCTCTCTCTAAATATTCTTTGGTTTAGAACTAGAGAGAATGTACAGTAAGGGAAAGATGACAGAAAGAGAGCTATTTTATGACTGATGCAAAGCTTTCTGATGGCATGGACTACTTATAGAAATTTTTACTTCATTTTCCTTGATCTCCATATTTTGGGATATTTGGTCTCTTAAGTTTTAAGCTCTTTCCCAATAAAAATTCATGTGATTCTTAACTGGCAATGAATAATTGCATAAGATGTGCAAATAGTAGGTCAAGAGTACCAGAAATGTTTTGAACCCTGCTTTAATCAAAAGGAGACAAACTTGTTGAACCTTGGCCTCCTTTTGTCATTATGGAATTATGTTCTATAATTACAGCATGCAGACACATACAATGTTAGACCTGGGGTAGAATGACTTAGAAAAAAAAATCTGGTAATCAAATACTCTCATTTGACTGATGAGAAAACTGATTTTTCAAGAGTTACAGTGGTTTGACCAGTATCATATGGATAGGAATCAAGAAGTGTCAAGGCCAGATTTCTCGCTTTAATGTAGAAAATCACATACCTGAAATGATCTCTCGATCTCAATGGAAATAAGTCAATTAAAATACTGCATATTTGAAATATATTTCTAATTAATTACAAGAGTCATTTGACAGCACTATTTATTTCTATTTTCCCCAAAGGCCTTAAATTGATCTCTAAATTAAATTCCACAGGGAGTACAACTTGGGACAATTTAGTTGTCTCTCACTGCACACCCAGGAGTGTTGTTACTGCTGTGTAAGAGGTTGAAGGTTGAAGTTCATCCAGCTATGGGTCTCACAGTCCCTGGGATTTGAAGAAACAGCACAGAGATCTAGTTGTGATAATGCCCTGTGTACCTCTAGTCAGGCTGGCTTCCCCACAGAGGTAAGAATCACAACTCCACAGCAAAGGAATCATGGGTGGCACTAAATTTTCACCAGATGATTTCTTAGAATTAAAAAAAAAAAAAAAAAAAAACCTAAAATTTTTTTTTCTTCGTAAGTGCCCAAAGGGCTCTGCATGGCAGCTTCGCTTGCTGTTGCTCCCCTTGTCATCATAAACTGTCCCAGATGCAGTCTAGCATTGTAGGGTGCCGGATAATAATGAAATAATTTTCTTTGTTCTCTCACAAGTGCCAATGTCAGTGTTTGAGATGCAATCAGAAAAACCACAAAGATGTACAACTATGTTCAGAAACTTAACATTACCAAATTTTGAATTATAAATATTACTGAAATTTGAATCAGGTAAAGAGTAATAGGTTACCGTTGTACCCATTCATATTTTTGGATAGACTTTTCTCCTATCAGAGAAGACAAAATGGTTTGCTAATTATAATGTAAATAGAAATGTTATAAATACAAAGCAAAGCAAGATAAAATTGAATAGAGTCTAGCTCTGGTCAGATCAGGTGCTCTTAATTATCCAAGCATGTTACTGACTCTGGGATACTACTTGTTTAGAATAAAAGGAACTACATGCATATTTAAGATGTTCTGTTCAGGAGAATAATGATGTACATTTATCTTAGTATCTAGAGCAAAATCCCAGAATTGCAGGAACAAAATATTTCTTGTTTAATGTTGTATTACGCTTTTATTTACAAACAGTTCTCCATTAAGAGAGATTGTCCATTAAGTGTTATATATAATCATATCTCAGAAGGACTGAATGCTCCTAAAAGTGGGAGCTAATGCAACAAGTCAGGAATCAGAAACATAATAAAGAGAAAGATAAAAAATATAATTTGAAGATGATATGGCTATAGTACCTAAACCACCTCCAGAAAATCAACTTTAGAACATAAAATAATGAGAATGTTAAGCAACATGGCCAGATATTAGATAAAATGCAGCAATTTATAGATTTCCTACATATCATCAGATACTAGTTAGAAATCATGAAACATTTTTTCATTACAGGAGCAACAAGACCTAAATACTTAGGCATAATACTAATAGGAAGAAAACTACACAAAAGGAAAAGGTTTCCATAAAATTGGACATGGTCTATGTTTCATATGGAAAGAATATCTATTGTAAAAACAACTGTTCCAATGAAATTGCATATGAATTCAAATTAAATTCCAATGAGACTTTTAAAGTGGGACTTAACAAATCATTTTAAAATTCATCTGAAGAATAGTAGGGCAATAATTGATATGAAAATGAGAAACAGATGTTCTATAAATATTAAAATATATCATGAGGGATAAGGGGTAGCTAAGTGGTAGAGTAAGTCTTTAGTATGTGTGAGGCCCTAGGTTCACTCCCCAGAGCTAATAAATACAATACAATACAATACAATAAATGATTGATTAAAAAAGAAAACAAGCAAAAATTATGAAACAGGCATAGTGGCACATGCAATAATCCCAGCTACTCTACTCAGGCAGCTGAGGCAGGAGGATTGCAAGGTTGAGACCAGTCAAGGTCCCTCCTCAAAATAAAAAATATAAAGTTCTGGGGATGTAGCTCATAGAGTGCTTGCCCAGCATGTGTGAGGCTCAGGGTTCAAATCCCCAATATTGCAAAAGTAGAACAAAACAGAATTAAAACATCATGGAATAGAAGTACATAGGACAGCTAAGGTAGAATTGGTTTGAGAATTATTAGAATGATGAATCAGAAAGGAGGTACCAGAAGAGACCCTAGTAACAGAACTTAGTATGTTGTTATTAAAAAAAAATCACAAACTAATAAAAGAAGAGACAATTACTCAGCCAGTGTTGTTAAACTATTTGGAAAGTAATTAAGACAGTTTCAATTCACAGTGTATGTCATAAACCAAAGTAAGTTCCAATAAAGTGAGTTAATGTCCAGATGCAAAAACCAAGAGATTACCAAACAAACAAACAAACAAACAAACAAACAAAAAACTCCCATGAATATTTAGCTGATACGAAAGGATAAAACTTCTGTAAAAACAAACAAAAAAAATTGGCAAATGTTGTATTTGAAACTATAAAACCCATTCTCCAAGAGTGTTTTCTGTTAAAATATCAAAACACAAAACAAAAATTACATTTGTGAAGCAAATGATAACTGAGGGCATGTTTTCATCAAATATGAGATCCAGCAAAATCAGTAAAATACAGAATTCTTATAAATAGATATGAGAATTACTGCCACCTTGAATATAAGAATGGATAAAACACATTGAATTTATTTCAGAGAAATCAGAAGAAAAATGTATAAAATTACTAGCAATCAAAGATATATGAATTTTAAAATAACCCTTCTTTTTTAAAAAAATTTTTTTTTCCTTTTCTTTCTGGCTGGAGTGATGTTATAAACACCCACACAGAGGGTCACAGTGTAGATTGATACATTTTGTCTGAATAGTAATGTGATAAAATGTTTCCAAGTCCTAAAACTGATTATTCCCTCTGATGCAATACATCTCAGAATAGAACCCTACTCAAAGAAATTAATTGAAGATACAGACAAAGACTAATAAACAATGTTCATCCAAATCTTGTTTAAAATAGTGTAAAATTCTCAACAAACTATATGCCCCCGATTATGGATTAAAGACACAATACTGCAATCACAGTATGGACTAATAGTTTTGGAGACAAGATATATGGATGTTTGAATATATGAATAAGCCAATATACTCACAAATATTTGGAGGAATAGAAGAAAATATACTAGAATATGGGTAATTATGTTATGTTGTATTATTTAGTATCATATCATGTCATTATTATATCATATTAATTATCCCACATGGTGCCATGATGTATGAGCTTTCTTGGGCTGTGTGCTTTTGGGAACAGCTCACCTGCATAATCCTCTGCACCATAGTCATCTGTAGGGTCTTCAACTCGGCTATAGCGGAAACGCTCCACCTTAGGAAACTCGTTGGTTGGGGAGTATGGCTGCACGGATGTGCCATAGAGGACCAAAGACCATTCTTTCAATTTACCTTGAGAAATAATAATGAAATCACAGCATGACCACATATTCCATCTTTAGCTGTATAACTGAAGTCTTTCCCATACAAGAAAAAACAACAGAAGAATTGTGGGAAGGGGGTTGATAGGAATCATTGCATCAGATACTGGACTAGAAATGCACATCTCCCACCCTTTGCAGAATCAACTACTTAATAATTCCTACACCAATAATTTATATACCACATATTTACTGAGCACTCACTATAGACAGACCTTGATTTAATCAGCATTTATGGAAAGCTGGGAAATAAAGATACCCCAGATTGCTAGTTTAAGGGTTGAATTTCAAAATTATGCTTACTTAAGAGAATCCCAGAGTTTTATAGAAGGCTTTGTTTTTCTACATATAAAGTTCTTTTCTGAGGTTTAAAAAAATTTTTGATGGCATTATCTGACTAGTTACTAAATGGACAAAACAACTCTTTGTACCACTTAATCCCTGAATCAGTCATTCAATATTAGGAATTCATCATTATGAATACTATTCCAATAGTACTTGGACACTCTTGATTATTTAAATTTAAATAAATTTTAAAAAGCACTTTGCTTCCTCAATTACAATAACCACATTCCAAATGCTCAGTAGCTACAGATAGCTAGTGGCCACTATACTGGGTGGCACATATATAGACCATTTGGACAGTATTGCACAGTAGGGTGCTATAGTCAAGGACACCTTGAGGCCTGAGGCAAATATCTCACCTCCCTTGGGTGGCTCATAAGGAAAATTTTACTTTAGCTTGCTCCTTATTCATCCATTTATTTCTTAGCTTCATAAAATTACAGCATTCAATGCAAAATGTTTAAGAAAAACGGGGGAAACTGCCTCAAGGCCATTAAGTTTAATAAGATTCACATCAAAGAAATCAACCATAAGCAGAAGTGATTTAAAACAAAACCATTACAAACATGGAAACATGCCAAGAGGAAAGCAGGACCCCTCTCACCTTGGCTTAACAAATGGAATCTGGGCCTGGTCACAGTTGGGTCAAGGGCTAGCTCAGAGTGATGACCTTCAGCTGTCAGGGGTTTTCATCTATTAGCTTCTATAACCTATAAAATCAGTGCCTAACATTTCTAACTGCTTACTATGTGCTAATAAGCACAGGCCTAAATGCTTTATAAATGTTATTCCATTAATGTGCACAGTTTCTCTGAAGTAAGTACTAATACTCCCAATATACAGATGGGAAAACTGGGGCATAGAAATAACTTCCCAAAGGATAAGAAGAGGACAAACTTATATTAAAACCCATTCTGAATCCAAATCCTGAGTTCTAATACCATTTTACAATACTGTCTCTTGTTCATTTCTAGGAGTTTAGGAAACTGATGTTTAGAAATAAACATGGAGATGCTCCTTGATTTATGAGAAGGTTATGTCCTAATAAACCATCACAAGTTGAAACTGTTCTAAGCCAAACATGCATTTAATGTACCTAACCTTTGGAACATCAATCACAGCTTAGCATCATCTACCTTAAATGTGCTCAGAACACTTATATTTGCCTACAGCTGGGCAAGATCATCTAAACACAAGTCTGCTTTATATTACAGTGTTGAATATCTCATGTACACACATTGATAAATGTTTTGTAGACACGACAGGATGTGAAAACACAAAATATAACATGCAAAAACTGGTGGCGGCACATTACATGGTGGAGCATTGGTTACTTCCTCTCATGATTGCGCAGCTAGTGGGAGTGTGGCTTGCTGCCATTGCCTAGCATGGTGAGAGATTATCATGCTGCACATTGCTATCCCAGGAAAGCATCAAAAATCAAAATTCTAAGTATGTTTTTCACTGACTGCACATTGTTTTCCCACAGTCATGAAGCTGAAAAATCAGGTTAACCCATCGTAAGTTAAGGATCATCTGGATTCTGTGATGCAGTCATTTGTTTCTTACATGTGCACTGGGCCAGTACAGTGTGGGTTATGTATGTGTTTTGCCCTTTGCCAGTTTTCCTTTGGACTCATTTGTAAATGGGTATGCTTTTCACTACCAGGCTGCTATTCAGGCTAAGAATTCTAAGCGGCATGCATTAATTAAGTAGTAGCAAGAAATGAACGATGACTGAAAATTGATGACCTATCTGATTGCCTTGAGGTAGCAAGGCAAGAAAAAACTTCCTTTGCTAAGGCATCTCTCAAGTGTTCCAATGGAGTACACAATACAAGGACACTATAGGTCATCCCATCTATCAGTCATCCTAAAACCTGGTTCATTTTACATCCCCAAATTTGCCCTCCTCAGTGCTTTGAAGCCTCAAACTGATTATGTCTCTTTGTGCCATGTCTGAAGGACACTGTAAGCCCAAGAGGGATATCTTTGCTGGGCAATTCATCTCTTTAATTTTCACTTATTATATAATTTTATTTCCTTAGGCCCTCTGCCATGATTCACATCAAATACTGCCATATTTGGGGCATCATTTTTTTTTTTTTAACCTCTACCACTTTTTCTAAATTCTATAGATTTTTCAGTTTCAGTAACAGACACTGAAACATGCTGTTAAGAAATAGCTGTGTAAATAGAGAAGGAGGAAAATCTATCCTACTTTCTAATACATAAATGCAATCTCCATATATAGGTTTAATGTGCAAAATATAAAACCAATCCCAATATATATTTAATAATAAACAAATGGGGAGAAATAATAGATAAATATAAACCCGGTGTGGAGTCAGGAACCTCTACATTCAGGGAAGAGTCTGCCATTTAATTGAACTAGAAAAAACCCCACATCTCTAGTAGCCTACTAAAGACACCCATCACTAATCAGATAGGGAGAAATCTACCACAGGATCTTATGACATAGAAACAAACACAGAAATGTGTAAGCGCACACCCATGCACCACACAAACACACCCATAAATGGGAAAGTGAAAGTTCCTTACCAAAGGTGTAACTAACCTTGACATGAAAGACTGGTTGACATGAAATCATATGTTCTCTGGTATGGAAAAAAAATACACAAAACCTGTCTTTGGAATGAAAAAAAATCTCTAAAATGATGGACAGTGACTGGGGTTAAATTTGAGCATTTAAACAGTACAGTTATGGGGCTGGGGTTGTAGCTCAGTGGTGGAGCACTTGTCTTGCACATGTGAGGAACTGGTTTTGATCCTTGGCACCACATAAAAATAAATAAACAAAATAAAGATATTGTGTCCAACTATAACAAAAAATATTTTTTTAAAAAAAATCAATAGTACAGTTGTCTTTTGGTTTCCATGGGTGACTGATTCCAGGATCCCCTGACAATACCAAAATCCATGGATGCTCAAGACCTTTTTATAAAATGGCAATAGTATTTACACACAACCTACACTTATTCTGTATACTTCAAGCCATTCATAGATTACTTATACCTAATACAGTATGCATGGCATGTAAATAGTTGTTATACCGTATTGTAGAGAGAATATTGACAAGAAAAAAATCTGTGAATATTTAGTACAGATATAACTTTTTTTCCAAATATTTTCATCCAAGGTGGTTGAATTCATGAATGTGGACCACGCAACGCCTGTAGATACAGAGTGCTGACTATATAAAGAGAAACCAATGCTATGAAATAGCCAAAGCTAGATTATCTAAGTTATTGCAAAGAGCTCTCGACACAGATAATTATATTGATTCTGGGTAGACTCCAAACTCCTCGAGGACAGAGGGGCTTACATTCATAGCCCCTGACTTGTCTGCTGGGACTGGCTAACTGGTAGCATGGGAGCAGTCTGGTCTTGTTGTGAGGGCAGAATTCCTAGTGATAATAAAGAGGAGAGTCACTTTTAGTTAGTTTTGTTAAATATTTAAAATTATCAACAGATAATGTACCCTTTTGTCTGCACTGATGCATTTGGATAGTACTTGTTTCTATGGGATCTCTTGACATGGAGCCCTGCAGTGATGCCTTTGGTCAGGGCAGCCAGCCCAGTCAACACACTGTCATTCCTTCTAAGCACCATGACCAGATCAAGACTAAGAAGTGAAGCTTGAAAAAGAAGAGGAAAGGAGAGAGGGAGAACCTAGGAACTAGGCAGATTATGACGGAGAGGATGTGTCTAGAAACTGTGGTCTATAATCTGTCTTCTCTACCAGCCCTGCCTTGGTGAAATATTTGGTTTCTGGATAAAACCTTGGCCACCCTTTATATTCAGGCTGCAGTTTGGAGATGAGGTAGACATGAATGCTCTTTAATACAACTTTTATTCTGATTCACCATTCAGATTTTGGTCTTCCTGATGAGGGACCGCTGTGGCAATATAGATGAACCTCATCACACAACTGGGTGAGAACAGAGAACCAAAATGTAGTGGTTGAAAATGGATCTCCCAGAATGAGTATCTTTCCTCGATAGGCAGGCAAAATGCTGGGAAACCTGTGCTTTCTCCCTGTGTTCTGTTGAGTGCCTTCTCTGCCCCATGCAGCCCATGGAATCCAAATGGTGCACACTCTTTTAAGATTGATAAATATTTGGGTTAATTTATTCTGGAATCAGCAGAGGGCAGGTACTGGATGTCAGTACTAAAATTTTCCCCCAGGTATGGTTCTGTAGATGGACTGTATAGAGTGTTGTAAAGGGAAGCTTTACCCAATGGTTGAAGGTGTGTCCACGGATGGGTGGGAAGCTGGGTAGTTATCAAATGGTCATTCGTTTCTGAGCCAGCTGCTCTGCAGAGATCTGTCAGGGGCAACACAATCTCCCACCAATGCTGCATCTGTACTTTCCTTACTTTGTGTTACAAACAAGCTTCATATGCTCTGTGCAGCTACCTGAAGAGACCTTTGTTACCATTCTAATTTCCATACTTTGTGTATCAAGGTTTTCTTTTTCCTTGGCTCTTAGGCTCAGGCAGGGCAGAATACCATCATTTATTTTCTTTAGTGATAATGAGATTAGGTGGTGTAGGCCAAGCTCAATGTCTTGTCAGAACTGAAAATTAAATTTAGAGAAAACAGAAGAAATAAAAGGAAATAACTAAGGATACCTATCTGTTCTTGTGCAGAAATTATGACCATGCAATTTAAATCATAGTGGGTGGACAAGGATGTCTTATTTACAGGCAAAGGTTAGAGATGTGGATCACCTATTCTGAAACATAAATCAATAGCTGCCATGTTTGGTCCTATACTTACATCTAAATTTTTTCTGCTTATTTCTTTTTCTAAATTATTATCTTTTAATTTCTTGAGAACTGCATTTTTGAAAACTAGAATGTGTAAAGACAATTCAAAACACACATGAATCATGTGAAAAAAGACCATGTTGAAGTATGCGTGTTGCTATGGTTTTGACATGGTTTAGCCTCCAGAGGTTCACGTGCTGGAAGTTTGGTCCCCAGTGTGTTGGTGGTGAGGTGGTGGGGCCCAGTGGAAGATAACTAGATCATGGGAGCACCACTCTCATGAATGAATTAATACTAGTCTAATGGGTTGGGTCTTGCAGAAGTGAATTAATTTTTGAGAGAGTAGGTTGTTATAAACCAAGGCCACTTTATATAATTTGTCCCCTCTGCACACACAGTTCATCACTTTCACACATGCTCCCACCAGTGTGATGCCACCCACCATGAGGCTGTCACTAGAGCTGAGCAGATGCTGGTGCCATGTTCTTGAAACTTCAGGAGGGGGAGCTTAATAAACCTCCTTTTTTTTTTGGAAAGTATCAGGGATTTTGTTGTAGCATCACTAAACAGATTAAGACAAGTATGGAATGTTCTTTGGCTAAAACATACTCTATCGTTTTCTTGGTGAATAAACTAATTTATAGAACAGGGGTTCTCACCTGGAGTCTTGAAGTTTCTCAGCTGAGAAGGAGTATCATAAACTTCAAGGATCCAGTCACCAGCAGCTCGTTCTCCCCAGCAGTGAATGGTCATGAACTCCCAGTTTTTAAATCCTTCCATGGAATGATCAAATAGCCTGAAAGAGAACCACAACCACTGTTGTATGCTCTATCAGATTCAGTGACAGTACATTGAAGGCCTCATCAATGGTCTTTTTGTATCCATCAGAGTGTTTAGGTAAGCTAAGCATGGAGCTTGACTTTATCTTAGGTCTCACCAACTAGTAGATCCATACATATATCATTGCTCTCCCACGAGCAAACTGACCTGGGACTGGCCATGCAATATCAAACCTCAGGGACAACCATTTGGGAAGCAGGTAAAGCAGGCCAAGGCTCCACCCATAAAACTTCAGTAGAATCACTGAAGATGTTGAGCAACTGGAACTTCTTCACATGCTTGAGGGGAATGTGAAAATGGCACAAAGGATCTGGAAGATAGTTTAAGAGTACTTATAGGGACAAACAGTTACCATAAAACTCAATGATCTCTTTTTCAGATATTCACCAAAGAGAAATGAAGACGCATAGGTCCACAAAAAAAATTTCCATGTGGATGTCCATAATTGCCAAATACTAAAAACAACTCAAATGACCATCAACTGGTGAATAGGTAAACAAATTACAGAATATGAATACAATGAAATACCTACCCAGTAACAAAAGACTAATGAACCACCAATATATACACTAACATGTATGAATGAATTTAAAAGCATTATGTTAAGTGAAAGAAACCACACACAAAAACTATATACCATATGATTCCATTTATACCAATTTCTAGAAACAGCAAAACTATAAGTAAAAAACAGATGAGTAGTTGCCAGGGACTGGGGAGGGGACATGAGAAGATGCATGGGACAAATTTTGAGGGTGATAGAATTGTTTTATAATTTGAAAGTAATGGTATATGGTTATATAGCTATTTAGTTTGTCAAGACTCACAGAATTATTCTCCTAAAAAGGTGAATTGCATTATATAGAAATTATGGCTCAGTATCAAGACTGCCTGCTACTCTTATCCAGTTGAGATAGTCCTTCCTGGAATCCCAGCTAAGAGTCTGCTTTATTGGCCTTTCTAATACATTTTTAAGCTCTTAATTCCCTATATGAAATACCTTTCTGCTTGAAATAGCTAGAATTATTCTGCTTGCTGTGATGGAATCCTGAGGCATACAAAATGTGAAAGAAAATCCTTATTAAGGGTAAAGAGTTGTTAATAATGTGTAAAACCAGGTATAGTGAGAAACAGGCATATCATTTATATAGGTATCTATGCTAATAAATGTGACCACACAAATAACTATCCAAAAGGTGTCAAAGACATCTGTAAAGATGGAACATGCAAGTGGAAAGCAAATGATGGGGCAAAATACAGATGTTTTTACTGCTTTTCTTTTTTCAGATTATGTACATTTACTGTTTTGTTGAAAAAAAAATGACAAAGTAAGAATAAGTTGAGGATCAAAGAGGCAAACAGAGAAGGAAAATATCTCTAGCTCTGTCTTAGGAGCAGTCACGTCCAGTTATTGCTTTTCAGAGGGAATGAGAGCTAAAGGCCATGGCAACTGGATGTTGGTGGCGATCAACTCTTCTTGCTTTAATTTCATGTTCCCCAAGTAACTTGTTACAATTTGACCTTCTATGTAGATCTTCCCTTTGGAAGGAAATATGCTCTTCTTCTATTTTTTCTTTTAATATTTTTAATTGTAGATGGAGACATTGCCTTTATTTTATTTATTTATTTTTATGTGGTGCCTAGGATTGAACCCAGTGCCTCACATGTGCAAGGCAAGCCCTGCAATCCAAGCTCATATATGCTTTTCTTAAAATAAAAAAAAAAAACCCTCCAAAACAAAACTGCTTTAACTTCCTTAAAACTTGGTGTATTAGATATCCGATTTTTAAAAAAGCAATTCGATTAATGTATTTGAGGATCCTTCTAAAATGTTAGTTGAATTCTGTAGCTGAAGGGTGCAGTAGTACAAATTTGGATGTGCTAGTGGGTGAATAGCTGACACCCTATTCCCTAGAGAAAGACAATAAACAAGAAAACCACCTGCTATGTGTTCCTGAGCCCTTCAAAGAAAGAAAATTAAAATTATTACACAGCTTTCTCAATTGTCTTTGTCAAAAATTCTGGAAAGACTGAATTAAACAAAATTACACAGATCCCTTTAGTGGAAAATAATTCAGATCTTTGGAATATGCAAATGTGCTTTGTTAATCTTCTTAATGGAGTTAATGGCAGGCAGTGATTTTCAAATCTAAGAGTAGGCTAATGAAGCCTCGTCTTTTTTTTTTTCTTTAGAATATTTGTATGCTATCTATATAGGTTACCTCTTTGAACACAATTGTACAACACATCATTGAGGCCCACAGTGGATCTGGTGGTGTTCCTCTATAATGACAGGGATGTAAATGGTGTCTTCTTCTTGTAACTGTTTTACTACTATAATTGGTTCTCCATAGAGTCAGAATGGTACATTTTAGGGAGAATCCATGATCCAGTGCACAGCCACAAGAAGACTGTTTTCTTAAGTTTATGGCTTAAGTTTATGGCTTACTTGGCCAAGAAAAAATTGCTGGGCCATTATGTAATGGACTATATCCATAGACTCCTTCACTGAAAACCCTAGGATGTGTGTATGCTGGGCAAAAGGTAACTCACAGACAGAGGAAGAGGAACTTTCTCCAGGTTGCCTTTCCTGCCAGGTATGTTACTGGGGGAAATGTGCTGACATGGAAATGGGTAGAGGCAAAAAACCAGTTTGAAGCCACTTCCTTCCTTACCTTCTGCAGCTCTAACTCACCCTCTAATTCCTTGAGGCCATGGTGCCATTCGAGGGCAGTGAAGCAATAACTTGTCACATAATACCTCTCCTAGAGTGCTGAACTTAAAAACAGTTCCCAAACAGTTTAGACAGAACATTTGGCTCATTGCCTCACATCCAAAAACTACAAAGGAGACTCGAGGCTGCCATCACATGAGGGGCAGCCTTGTTTCCACAGCCTCAGCCAACTTCTAATTACTCACGGGTCAATTATTTCACTGCTGGATTAACAGCCCCATGTTTCCTCCCTTCCACCCTTTCTTGTCCACCTTTGAAAACCACTCTCTTGCTACCATTCACTTTCTAATCACATTTGGGACAAAAACTTAAATATAAACAGGGTGCCAAAGAGAAATATTTGCAAATCACAATTCAAATCAGTGTTTCAAAGCTCAAATAGAAATGGGCTTTGTCTACATTTGCCTACGTCTGTGGCTAAGCAGTTTCCCAGCCCCTGGTTGCTTCACTTTACAGACTTGGAATGTTCATTGATTTTGTGTGAATATAAAAGTTGAAGAGAGAAATGAAAATGTAAGCCGAATGTGACCATTACTTTTTGCCAAAAGAGTTGCTGTTGAAAGAAACAGATACGGATTGTTGTGGTGTCAACCTAAGGGACAGTTATATTTCCAGTCTCAGCCTGTCTTTATAGGCACAGATGATTCAAATGGGGATGTATGCTTTCGTATTTTCATTCTGATTTAATATGTGGATTATTCCATATTTGGAGCATTGTACCATTTAAAAAAATTGCATCCTTTGTGTATAATAAAAGGCAATGTAGATTGTAGATTAGCTTGGTGTTGCAAAGAACATATTTGCCCAAAACAATCAAGTGTAAAACTATGGACATCTGTGAAGGAGGTAGTTGTGGGGTCACCCTTTATCAAGTTGATTGCCCAGTTTAAACATCTATACTGTGCCAACAGAGGGGAATCCTGATACATGCCAACATTATTAGTGTTGGTAAAGTATTATTAAAACAGAGGCAGTGTACTAAAAGTCAGAGTGGATAAACTCCATGTGTGGATTCTCTTCTGCTGTAGTGAAATCCAGTTTTGTCAAAGCTGACATAATTATGTGGATAAAACGATATATGTGGCACAGATTACACACCCAGTTATTAAAATGGTGCCCACAGCTCTATCCCTGAGAGTAATTTTCAAATAAGTTGCTTTAAATGAAGTCTGGGAGAAAAGACTTCCATTACTTCCATTAAGTGTAGTACATCCTTTTGAGGAATTAACTCACAAAATAACTCATGCAATTACTGTAAGCTTTTTCCCCTTTCACTTACAGAGTTTAGCCAATGTATCAAGACTACAAAATTCCTTTATGATGATACGGCAGCTAAATAACAAGGCATTTAAAAATATCAATAGCCATGGGTTACCATATAATTATTTCTAAAATTGTAGGTGGATCTTTATTTTAGAATTACCCACAGCTACGTGAAGAGTATTTCTCACTATGAAATTAGACCAATATCCTCAGAAGATTTTCTTTTTCTATTTTATTTATTTTTTAATTTTTAAATGCCTCATTATAATTGAAAAGGTACAGCAGACTGAATGCCTGAAACATTCATTGGGTTCAACTGTAATTGAGTGTTCGGTTTTCTTTAGATGTTTGGTCTCTGTAATGTTTAGATCATTTGCTTCTGATAGAAGGTATTTAAAATGCACTATTTGTCTTTTCTCTTTCCTAATCTAAATTGCTTATTTAAGAAAGGTTGAAAGAAAGGTACTGGGTGTTCTAGAAGTTTGGAAAATCTGAAATGATGACTTTATTTATGTTGTCATTCACTAATCCCACATGCATTCCTTCTTGTGGGTATATGATATAAATATTGATCTTCTTGAAGCTTTATTCCATTTTGTAGTGGATGACTTTTATCTAAGAATCTGTTTTATATTATAGACTCCTTCGTAAATTATTTACACAACATCCAGCAGCATATTACTCACAAGTCTTGTTATGACACAAAAATATCAAGAATATGTGTGTGACAAAGCTGAGTGAGCTTATATGGGGCCAAGGTGTGATCTATGGACAGGAAGCTTTACTCTCTCCTGGAAGCACGTTAGAAATGCAAATCCTGGGAGCTGACCCTAGACCTACAGGATTGGAATCTCAGGGATAGTGACCTGGCCATCTGTGTTTGATAGACCCTTTCACCAGGTGCTTTCAGAGGCACTGTGTAAACACTCCTTACTAAGTGCTTACCTTGCTAGGTACTG